ACCGTACAGGTCTTCAGAGGCCGCTTGGGCCCTGCTAGCCCTAGTGGCCCTTGTCTCCCGGGGATTGATGGTGTTGTCAGACATTCTCTACTCTGCTCAGCGTTGTACAGCCAAGAAGAGCGATTCGAGTGTCAAGGATTGGTAGTCCTGGGTGATATTGGATTGCTGTAGGCAACTGAATAGATCAAGAAGTCTGTATCAACGTATTTGTATTGTATGTAATCGTGTAATGTGTAACAGCGCGAATCGCTACCGTTGAGAGTTGGTAGGATTCGTGCGGGGCATTATATACCTCAAAAGCGGGGTAAGGATGAAAGATAATCCGACCTGGGCCCAAAGGGCCCAAATGGCTCATGCAGATAGTGAATCTTCACAGCTTCCATATCTCCAAAGTAATAATTCTATGCCATTGTTGGAGTGCAGGAAGCAAACGTCCCTCTTGTCGCGAGAGCCATATCCCGTGCTTCAACTAGTTCTATAGGGTCGTTTTCCTGCCCTATCTCTACTAAATGATTTATCACTGTGCTAAAGTCACTATAGTTATATAGAACAGGCTGAAGTCGTCGACGCTCGATGTTAGTAAAGAACTCTTCTAACGACGGAGGTTGCTAAGCAGGCTATAGAGGGGATTAAGCCGTAGTAATAGACGCAGTAATAGAGACAGGTGAAGACAAATGAGATGGAGTAGGTGGAGGAGTAGTTATAGGATTCGTAGCTGGTGCAGATATAGGAACTGATATGGTAACAGCTATGTTTGTGTGTCGCAAGACCTCAGCAAGTGTTTGACCCTAGGGTTGAGGAGGAGGCTGAAATTGAGGGATAGAAGGTAGCACACGTCGTTCAAAGCCCGAAGGATCTCGACGAGTTATAGCATTCGTAGGTAGTGCAGATGTAGGAATTGACACAGCGACAGAGGTGTTTGTATACCGTAAGACCTCAGTAAGTAATTGACCTTAAGGTTGTAGTAGAGAAGGCGGTACACGTCGTTCAAAAGCTGATAGATCTCGACGAGTTAATGCCTCGTTCTTCCTCGGCGTACCTCTTGTTTAAGCCGGAAGCGGCTCTAGGATAGATTAATATGGCCTTGGAGAGAGGCTTATAGACCGTCCTTGCTCACGTTAATAGCGCCAATAATCGTCGTAAAGGTGATTTGGTCGTAACGTCGATCCAGAATTTATCACATCTCGTAGCGTATGATGACATGGAAGACCGTTTATCTTCTCATAGAGGCCAGAACAAGGACGCCTCCTACGACGTTGTCTCTGCTCCTTCTGGCGCATCAGATCCTGTTGTCTAATGCGTTCAATTGCCGCTGGCGTAAGGATGTCATAAATACTAGGAGGTAGGAATGGCATTGACTCCAGTCTGTGCTCAAATTTAATGCTGTGTTTAGAAGAAGTAATCTGTTTCCTGTACTTGTTGTATTGACTCTTGACCATCTGCTCAATCCTTCTAACAACACGTAGCAAGTCGCCTCTTGAAGGCATAAGGTGGTCCTTCAAAACCCTATGCATTCCTTCAACAGGAGAGGTTGTAACTGTATTATAGTGTCGATGCTGAGACGTCCAAGCAGCTGCCCACTCGGTACGTGTATGCCATTGATTATCACGTAAGTATTGGCAAAGTTCTCGCTGGTCGGCATAGTCTTTGAGTAACTCGTCCCACTTTAGCTTAAATGTAAGTAGACTCTTTGCATAGATAAGCTGCTCCAGTCAGTTCTGTGAAAAACTTATAAGAGGCATTCCCGGAAGCCTTCCGGTAACGCCTCTTAGGCCATTGGTGGGGAGCATACCTGACTCCAACGTTTCATAAATTGAGCCCGGTGCTCAGCGATTCTCTGCTTCTCCTCTTTTGTTACGCCATCAGCGTCTCGCTAGGTCTTTTGAGCCTTTTTCTGCATATTCTTATTAATATGCCATATGCACAGGAGTTGTGGGATATCTAGAAACAGAGTGCGAGCTGCTAGTTTTACCGCATCCTCCTGATCGCTAATGAATACACGTGGCTGCGGTGTCCCTGTATTAAGGAGGAAGTTTGAGATTGCCCAATAGTAATCTGCTTCTTTCTCGCTGCGGAGGAAGCAGAACCCTACAGAGAAGAATATCTATAGATTGGTACAGCCGAGTATGTGCAACAGTAGGAGTTTGTACTTATTGGTTCGGTACGTACAGTCCCTCAACAGGATATCGGGATTTGCAAGCAGTAGCTCAATCTGCTTCTGGTGGGCAAAGAAGAGACCTTGTACGTGATTATCCGCATCCTTCTTAACAGTAAAGACCCATTCCGGCGTAGACAGGTCATCTAATAATGTCTCAATCGGACTCCTCCCATTTAAGTGCTTCTCTCTAATTGCCTTCCTCTCGCCGCGAATATCGGTAGCAGATACTAGGGTGTCTGGATCCTCCTTTTGAATAGCAGCCATTATCTGCATCGGCCGTACCCCGGCATGCGTCATTGATTTAATTATGTCTTTCTATGCTAATATACGCTCGCGATAGACATTATGCGTACTAGGGTTAAGTGACCGGGGATGGTTGTAATGCTTGTATAGAACCTCCAGCTTCTACTGGTCGTCGCTTTTGTTCTTAAATATACTAAGCCTAAAAGGACACCCTATTAAGCGTATGCTTGTACTCAGATTCTTTGCTCTTGACTAATAGTTTCCGGATCGATCACAGTAGTAGTAATATCGTGTCTTAACATTAGAATTGTGAGGTCTACTCCGGTTAAGTAGGAAGCCGTAGCTATGCTACATTCTATGGCCCTTGAGAGCATTATAGGCTTCTTTATAGGATGCGTAAAGGCAATCTTGGGGGGGAGCGATATCCTCCATGCTGAAATCTGTAAGAGAAGGAATGTGAGAAAACAGCGGTTCCTGTGGTCTATAAGACACGTCACAGCAGGAGAGCTCTGTGTTTGACCAAGAATTGAGACATTGATTGATCTTGTTCCTAATAAGCATAAAAGCTTTGGGAATACGCTCATATTTAAGTTCTGTATACAATTGATGGCCACGGAGACCTTGATTTCCTCAAACCGAGCGAAAAAGCAAAGAATGAGGGGTTGGTAATATCGCGGGATGCGTGATGCGCTGTCATGGTTGGGAACACGGGGTCTATACCACCTAAATACGAGCAAGAAATGGGGGTCATGGGTAGGAAACCGGAAAACGCCGAAAAACAAAGATATCCCGAAAACCTGATCTCTGGCAAGAAACACCTCCATGCGGAGATTGTGAGAGAAAGACCAGATTGAACATTAAAGTTGTCTACAGAAGAAGATATATGGAAATACGCACTAGGCTCAGTTGAGCGATTAATTTCCACTAAACAAAGAGCTGGTGGGAAAATCTCAAATGGTGGGAAAATCTCAAAACCTGGTGGGAAAATCTCACCAGCCATCACCGATGAACGCTAGGAAGGGAATGTATACGAAGCACGTCTTACCGTTGATATCCATATCAACGCCCCTATCTAGTCTTTGCATCAACTCTAGGGCATCGACGACGTCGTTAAAGCTTCTACTATGAGGGCCCAAAGTCAGTGGAAATACATTGGCCGGAATATTCCGCTCGGCTTGGACAAGGCAGGCCAGGAGAAGATAGAAGCCTATAATAGTACGGCGCATGTTACGGAAGAGCCCGAAGCCATCAAGATACCCAAGGATAGGTATAGACAAGATATCCGTCCCCCTAGGCCTATTCCGCTTTGCGAAATTGCTAACGAAATATTCTCGCCCATAGACCTTAAGCTCAAGTTCGCCGCGGATCGGGTAGGTCTTAAAGATAGGCCGGATACCTGTATTCTGGTTATAGACCCGACGCACAATATGCTCGTTTAGAGAGAGGCTGTCTGTTGATCGATCGCTAGGGAGTTATACAGAGCTCCTGAAGGCATAGTCAAAATAGACAGTAATGTCTGTTAGGCGCTCAATCAATTCTTCGGGTACAACGTCGATAGTATCATCTAGTATAATGAATTCGCGGGAGTAAGGAGGCGGGTCGAGAGTAAGATTTTGGTACGTTAGGCGAGAGAGGAACTAGTTTATTAGCTGAAACCGCTGGACCTTAAGGATAATCGAACCCTCTGGGCTACTATGCTCGCGATATATGCGGAAATCCCTTCTAAAAGCCACGATTTGGCCAAGATGCGGCTTTTGCGTCATCGTCTGACAGAGACACTGTGTATCGTTGCATTTGAAACGGACGAGATCCGAAGGAAAAACTGGCTCGGTCGTATTTGGATAGTAGGCGTACTGACCAGAAGAGCAACGGATTGACGACGCCCAGGCAATAGATTCCCAGAGCTCTTTAGGCGAGTCGACGAACCTAGCCATCCCAAAGAACATATTTAAGCGTAGCTCGGTGTACAAGATTGTCCTAAAGAGCTCGAACGGGTTAAAGAAGTAGAGGTTCTCTGCTTGCGTTCGTAAACCGGCCTCAGCCTCCCCACGGCGGCCACTCGGGAGCTTGTTAGCATTAAGGGTAATTGGTTTAGAGCGGATTTCGAGGAGGGGCAGTTATTCGTTCACTTGTTTCTTTATAGTATCAACCCTTTTAGGGAGCTTACTAATCTCTTTATTGCTAGTAAGGTTCAGAACCTTAACGAGCGCCTTATACTGGGACCGAGGGACACCGTACTACTGTACCCATGTGCCCATTGCAAGGGCGAAGTTAGTCATTGGCTGGGTGGCAATCCTGCGTAGTAGAGGTAGAGAGGTATCTGAAGGAATGAAATACTTGGAGTTGGCGGCGAAGGGGTGAGGAGCTTCTTGGGTAACTTGACTTGTCTCCGTGTTAGCCACCGTCTGACTACTAATAGTAGCGGTCTCTTCATCGGATTCGATATCGTTAGCAACAGGCGTTAAATCCTCGATATCCTCTGCCGGGAACTGGTATTCAGCAAGTTCACGACGGTTATCCAGGGTAGGCATCGTCTTATTAAGCTCGCTTGCTAGCATGGCCTGCGTACCCCCGAGTATGGCTTCGAAGCTATCAAACCTAAGGTCTTCTTCAGTAGCATCCTATAAGGAGTTTGTACTCTATTAACATAAAATAGGTAAAAAGTAATAGGACCTACTTCGAATAACATTCCTATATCATCCTCGTCGCTATCATTAAGCATTGGACGCTTAGACGATGGCTCTATACTACTAATAGTATCTAATAGTTTAGTATCATCGTCAACTTCCTCCACGAGTTGTCCTGCGAGCTACTGAGCCTCTTGCTACGCCCGCGTTATAGCCTCGTACTAAGCTTCTATGTGACGGCGAATAGCAGTGATTCGCCCGGATTGTCGGTATGATTTCACCATAATGGCCGTAATCGATAAGAGGCTGGAATAGAGGAAAATCCGATATATATAGTAAAGAGTAGAGGTATTAAGCGACCATTAGATCTGATGGGGTGAGGTGATTGACGTTGAATTTCGATATTGTACGGTGCCTAGGTAAGAACGGAAAGTGTGAGTGGCGATGGAAGGTGCGATACGCACAAACGCGTGGACTTCGCGAAATTTACACAATAGA